ACCAGGCGCACGCATCGACGTACGCTGCTTGGCAACCAGAGGCTCCACCCCCTGCTCCCGCTCAGTTGTGCTTATTGGGTCGAAGCACCCCGGCGCTTCGCTCTCGGTTCGTGTTATGGTTGGTTTCCTTTGCCACACGCGTCAGCCAGAGCGGCATTCGATTGGGCAAACTGGAGAAGGAGGCTGGCCGAAACTGACGAAGGCGGAGCTTCTCGGCTGCTTGACGAAATGTCGTGAATGAAAGGAAGGTACCCAGAGAAGCACATATTTGGGGAGTTTAGGAAAGTGCCTGACATGGGATATCGAAAGGACCCGCGACTTTATATTTATATCAAGTGTAAAGATATTTGATCACCTTTAAGCTTCCGTATACCCTTGGGTAATCCTTCTCTACAGACTAAAAGATTTGCTCGCCACCGCCCTTCGCAGCCTGTTTTAGATCAGGCTCTGGCGTGGACTCCCCTGGCTGAGGGGTCCTTCGAGCTGCCAGAGACCTACGGAAGATGGTAACGCTGGCGATGGCGGCTGGGCCGGGGGCACGGCTGGGGCCGGCGTTTGCGCTGAGGTTGCTGGTGGTGGCTGTGCTGCAAACGGTGAGTGGAGGGCACCTCTGCCGCCGCCCCAGAGCGAGTGGAAGCGATTGCGCTGAGGAAAACGTGTCATTCGGCCCCATTTGGGAGCGACGCTTGAAAAGGGTGGAAAGACTGGGTTTCCTTAGCCACTCCTGCGGCCGGAGTGCGACGTGGCTTATTTCCTCGTTTGATGCTTATCCTCGGCTCGGGGTTTCTAACGGTTCTTTCTCCTGGCTTCAGACTATCGAGTACTTATCTTCTCTTGCACAGATCCTGCTGAAAACAATCTGTAAATCACACGGTTGGGGGAGAAAGGCAATAAATCTTGGAAAGGAGTGAAAATTGCTTTTTAAGGGGAAGAAGTAAAACCGTTCCTTATGACAAGGTTCCCAGATCTTGGAGGAAAGCCCTCAAGTCTTCGGTCCAGGGTGTGCGTCCTATTTACTTCTTTCTCCCAATTATTAGTATTCCTTTAATTCACTGTTAGCCTCTGCCCTCCGCTCTCTGGCATTTACATACCTCTGTGCACTTAAGTGTTACTTTGTGTTTTAAACAACGTTGTTGCAATAAAGGGGGGTTACTCTGTACTAAAGCATAACTTATTTTTGAAATTGACTTTCTAAAATGATAGTCTTCACCTCGTTTAAAATCGGGCGGTATTAACCAAGTTTTTTTATTTGTTGTTTGTGGGGGTTTTTTAATTTCGTTTTCTTTAAGAGAGCAGACGAGTTCTTAGTCTTTGAAAGGGGGAAAGGCTAGTTTTGACTTATTTACCTTTTCACCACGAACAACTTAATATTGGCTAATTCCTCCTAAAAAGTTTGCAATCTGTGTTTTGCTATGTGAATAGAACTTTTTTAGTAGACACTGTGCTGCGATCACACATTTCTTGTATCAGCCTAATTCTTCAAGTGTTCTCCTTGCTGAGCCTGCTGGGAAGTTTTCGCCTAGAAGACCTGGTTCAGCTGATTCATCCAAGATTTGGGCGAGTTAGGGCCAACCGAAGCCCTCTCTGAATACCTCTCCTTTTCCTTTATCAAGGAGTTTGGGGATCCTGCCTGTTTGCTTCCAACTGTTTGGTGCCTTACAAATTACTGGAAGTACCCCTCTCTAAACTTTCTACTCAAGATTTTTCTTTTTTTGTCTTGCAAATGTTAGGCGATTTGAGTTCACCCTCGTGCAAAAATAAAGGGGAGTAACGTTCCAAGTTGCCTTCTCTTGATTTCCCTATCTCTGGCTATTTCATTATCTTTGGCTGTATAATTACCCCAAAACTTAATGGCTTGAAGTAATGATTTCTCATGATTGGGTGGGTCTGCTGATCAGTTCCTTCGTGGATTTCCTCTGGCCTCATTTCTGCAGCTGTGCTGTGCTAGTAGGTCAGCTGGACTTAAAGGTCCAAGGTGGCTTCATTTTTGGTGGTGCTTGCAGTGAGCTAAGGCCACTTGGTTCTCCAGCATGTGACCTCTCCTCCAACGGGCCAGACCGCCTTCTTTCCGTGGCAGCCTTAGGGCAGCACCCCTAAAAGGCAACAGCTGCAATGCCCCCTAAAGCCTAGCCTTGGAAATCGCTTATATCACTTCCTCCTCACAATATCTGTCAAAGCAAATCACAAGACCCGTCTAGATTTCAAGGGTGGGGAAATAGAAATAGGGAATACAGGAACTGTTTTCTTTTATATAACACCTTACGCGTACTTGTTCATTTAAATCCCCCGACGTGTGAATAGCCTCCTGTTTGTTCCTTGCTATTAAAGTCATCAGGGTATCTGTAGTTTGTGTAAAGCCATGAGTATAGTAGAGTGGTAAGTACAGAGTGGTAATGAACCCCTCCGACTCCTGCAAATACAGAATGACTCTGAAAATAGAGAGTCCTGAGTAATTTGCCGTTGTTGAACTGTTTTGACTTCCCTAAGGTTTATTCTTGTCTCTTCTGTAATGAGTAGTGTTTTTAAGAAAAGAAGGCAGTAAAATCCTTGAAAATGAAAAGTGTGGGAGGAGGATTGTTGAAAAATCACTTAGAAGTTAGAAAAACTGCATTTCACAGCTAGCCTAAGGGAGTGAAAAGACCAGGTGGAATAAGTAGTTTTCCTTAATAAAAATAAACCAAGTATCTGGAACCTGACTGGTGCAGATTGAATAAAAAAAGAATAAGAGAATAATTTCTCAGCGCCTTGAGGTTGAGCTACTGGTATGAATAGAGAATTTTGCTCTTACTTTAATTCACACCTCTGAGTCCTTAAACTAGACAAGTTGAGTTTTTATCACTGTCTCTGCCTCTGAATAGCTGTAATTTAAAGTTAATAGCTTGCGTAGTTATCAGCATTTCAATGAGGTGACAACTGGGAGGATATGAAGTGATTTAATCTGAAAATACTTTCTGAGTATGATTAAGCATTAGGAAAGTAATATTTTAGTATGGCCTAAGGGAGCTGTTTTCTAGAGTTCCCCAAAACTAAGTGGTATTCAGTTCTTCATTCAGCTCATACCTAATTTTCTGCATTCAGAAAGGCGTTGCACTGAGAGCAGTATGGACGATACTGTGTCATTGGTTCTGGCACTACCCCCCACCTCCAGCCCCTTTTCTTCACAAGTTAACATCTGCATCAGTCTTATTTTAGTGGGTGGCACAATTATAATTGTCAGCGGTTTTGTTGTTCTTAGCGGTACACGCTGAATGGTGCGTCGTGGATTCCGTGAAACACGGTAGTTAATAACAGTGGCTCAGGGTTTGGCGGGCAGGCCAGGATTCGAATTTTGATGCTGCCACCTGTTGTTTGCACTGTTGTCTTAGACAAGTTACTTGAACTGTCCTACGCCTCTATTTACTTCTCCATAAAATGGAGATAATAATACCTTCTTCATGGGGTAGTTAAGATTGAATAAAATAATGATGTAAAGTGCTTAGCGAGACACGTGGTGTAAGGGCTTGATTTTTCTTGTGTTCATTTTCATGGTGTTCATCTGTTTACTTTTGTCTCAAATTTGAAATATTTTTGAAATTATGTGAGAAACCTATTATTTTTCTTAGAGTAAGGATCAATTAAGAGATGGCTAACCATATGTAGGTGTAAGTATAACGAAGTGTATAGTGATACCAGACTTTTTTCTGAAAAGGTAACGTTACAGTATAGTTAACACAGTTTCCCTGCTAACAACCCTCATCCACAGGGAACTCAGTAACACCAGAAAGAAAGAAAAAAATCAATGAATAATGCAGGGAGGAGAGAATGGAGTCTCTTAGCTTGTCAATCCTACTTTGAAAGTTAAACTGTTAAATGGTTATCCCATTCAGGGTTATCCTACCCTGTCCTTAGAGTCTATGTCTTTTTTTTACAAGTGTGTCTATTTTTAAATTTAATATTTGACCTTAATGTGCACATTTAAATGCTGTTCAGTTACTTTTTGGTAATAAAAACTTGGGCAGGCATAATTTATAACTTGGAGCTCCTCTTCTGTATTGTTTAGCATTTGGTGTTTATCTGTGAAGTGCTTAAAGATACGTTCTAAAGCCCTTGGATTCAAAGCCTGAGTCTGCCGAACCAACGGTAGAAGAACCAGGAAAAAAACATTTCACTCATGAAATTCAAGATGCCGTATATCTCCCATGCACTTACCCTTTCCCATGTCTACACTGATTAAAACATAATAGCTTTCTGGTTTTGTTTTTCAATCCTTACCCNGCAGCTTGACCCATCCACCCACTGATTCTCCTCCCCCAGGATTCCAGGCCTGGACGGCATGGCGGTCAGTGTCTGAAGTCAATAGTTTCATACAGTTCCTGGCTTCCTATTTGTTTCCTGTGGGAGGCAAGTCTAGTACCATGTCCATGGTCACGGTGGAAGAGGGAGTCCTACCAGCTGTGTGTTTGGGATTCTATGGCATAAAACATATGCAGAAACTATTGGGTAGATATTCAAAAGGAAATTTAAGTGAATAAATGATCCCTGGGAGATTGCAGCATCTCTTTTAATGATTGATATATAAAGTAGGCAAACGTGTTAAAAAATGGGTGTGCACACTCATATTACTTAACTTTATTATTTATTTATTTAAATATGTTTTTATTCATTTTAGAGAGAGAAGAAGGGGAAAGAGAGAGAGAAACAATGATATGAGAGAGAAACACCAATCGTCTGCTTCCTGCACTGACCCCGCTGCCTGGGTATGTGCCCTGACCAGGACCCTTCCATGCACCGGACAGCGCTCTAATCAGCTGAGCCGCACCAGTCAGGGCCGTCAGTGGTGTTCTGTAGTTTTTAAGCGTACTTTCACAGTGGAAGGTGGGAATAATGCCAACATTTATTAAGTACCCACTGTGTGCTGGGTAGGATACTAGATGCTTTTAGTGCTTTTTCTCCTTTAGTCTTCAAAACTGTGAGATAAGTGGTAATTCCTATTCATAAACTCAAAAAGTAAGGTTGCTCTGTGCTGGCATTTGAATCAAGATGTCATCAGACTTCAATACATGTTTTGTATAGTCACGCCACCTGTCAGTAGGTGCTCAATAAGTGCCAGAGTAAAACCAAGTAGTATAATCACATGATTATTCATTTAAGGTTCTTGTTTTGTTTTTTGGTTGTTTTTTAATCCTAACCTAAGGGTATTTTTGTAATTGATTTGAGAGAGAGAGAAACATCCATGTGAGAGAGAAACATGGGTCGGTAGCCTCCCATATATGCCTTGATCAGGATTCGAACCCACAACCTTTAAGTGTACGGGACAGTGTTCCAATCAGCTGGGCCACCTGGCCAGGGCTGAGGTTCTTGTTTTTAAAACATGCTTTGGTAACAATTTCTTACATTTGTTAAGCAGTTCACAGTTTCAAAGTGATTTCACTTTTATTACCTGTTTTAGTTACCATAGCTACAAAATAAATCATCCAAAATTTAGTCGTATAAAACAGTTGTTTATTTTACTTTCAACTGTGGGTCAGCAACTCAGGGCACAGCAGGATAGCTTGTGTGTTCCCTGGTGTCTCGGACCTCAGCTGAAATACTGGGACGTCAACTGAAATGTGAAGGCCCTTTACTCACATGTCTAATAGTCAGTGATCCTGGTTGTCAGCTGGGGGGTCTCAGTTGCTCTTTACATGGGCGTCTTCTTCTTGGCTCTCTAGTTTAGGCTACCTTACAACATGGTAGATAATTTTCAAAGTTGAGTGTCCTGAGACAGACACAGAGTACATGCAAGCACTAGCCTAACAGAGACTATTTCCTTTTTAGGGACTTACCTCAGAAATCACACAGTATCCCTTCCGTTACACTCTGTTGGTCAGAACAGTCACAAGCCCCTGCCCTGATTCAAGGGAAGGAAACATAGATTCCCACTTCCCAGTGGAGAACTGCCAGTCACATTGGAAGAACACGTGGGATGATGTGTATATATATTGGTGCATTTATCTTTGGAAACTACAAATTATTCTGTGAAGTAGATCAAGCAGATCACTTTAATAGTGGAGAAATTACTCAGAGTACTAGTATAGTAGCAGATGTCTTAGGTTCCTTCCACGGGGCTGGGAAACTTGATCTATTTTGAAGATTATATACATTCCACATTATTACTGATATAGGTAAAAGATGTATAAGGTATCAGATTAGAGTGTTGACTAACATAAGACCAATGGATGATCAGTATTTTGAAGGAATATGCCAAAATACTTAAGGTTTTTTACATTGGAAAATGCCTTTGGGTTTTAATCTGTCTGCTTAGTCTAGAAAAAGGCTGACACACTGAAGCTGGTGGGCCAAATCCAGCCAGCCCTGTTTTTGTAAATAAAGTTTTTTGGAACACAGATACCCATTCATTTATTCATTTATTATTGTCTATGACTGCTTTTGTGCTGCAATAGCTGAGATGAGTGGTTGCAACAGAAACCATAATAGCCACCAAAGCCTTACGTGATTATTATCTAGTCCATTATATAAAATTTGCAGACCCTTGGTCTAGAAGATCAAACAGTTGCAGCCAAACAAACAAATTCCCCCTACTTGAAGCTCACACACACATCAGAACTAGCACAGTGCTGGAAATACAGAGAAATAACTTAATTTTTGCCCTCAAGAGTTGACAGTATTGTTGGGAAATTCTGGGATTGTCTATGCTTGAGTAGGAGTTTATACTTGCAGGTACTATAGGAATTCATTATAGCCAAAAAGTAGAATGGGATTGGAGAAGTAATTAGAGGTATGACTGTCAGTGACCATTTAAGCCATTGAGGCAGGAGAAGATTTGAGAGTTCTATAAGAGAATTATCAAAACTTGTTAACTAATTGGTTGTAAAAATGGTGAAAAGTGTGGAATCTAGGATGACTGACCTGGGCGGCTTCATGGTCAGGGAAAATGACACCCTTTTTATTAAGACACTGAGTACATTGGGGAGGAATGGATTTAAGGAGAAAACTTAAGTTCCACTGTTGGATATTTTGGGGAGGTTTTTGCTTTGTTATGGTTTCTTTCACCATTGGAGATTTTGCATTTGTAATGCCTTATGCACTGTCTAAATGAGACTTCAAGTAGGCTGTTGGCATTGGAAGCTTGCATTTCAAGAAGAAGACGGGAGGTTTCAGTAAATTGGTATTTAAAGCCATGGAAACGATACTGTTGTCTATGAAAGTATGTAAACTAAAGAGAGAACCAAAAATAGAAATGGCAAACAGGGACATGTAAGAGATGCATAGGAGAGGAAGGAGGGGAGACAAGCCCATGGAAGGGGCAGCTGGAGGAGAACAGTTTTGAATGCCGTTGCATTTAGTGATTTGGGGCAAGTTTAGTCTAGTGGTAGGATCAGAAACCAGACTAGAGGAGGGATTTAGAAGTGATGGAATGTGGAGAGAACAATTAGAGTCTAGGGCTTGAATACACTGAAGAATCATCATGACAGTTCAGTCCCTGTGGAGATGGCGGAAGCCAGAAACTGACTCACAGGCAGAGGGATTGCGTGTGGACGGACAGAGGTGCCACTTCCCCGGGACAGGAAAGGAGTGCCGGGAGAAGAGGACTGAGTTTGGGAGCCTGCCTTTGCCAGTCATTCGGACTGTGCCTGAGGCGTTTGTTTCATTTTATTTAGGAAGTACTGTTCCTTTGTCAGTGAGAAAATTAACACGGAGGTTATCTTTCCCAGTGTCACACACCTTGTAAGTGGTGGAGCTAGTACGTAAACCCCAGACTTTTATTTCTGATGTGCTCCTGTTCTCCCCACCCCATCCCCTGCTTCCTGTGAGTGAAGATAAGTCTGAAGGGTGCGGTCGGGGCCTAGACTAGAAGTTAATGTTCATAGACCCATATAAACAGGTGTTAAGTTTTTGAAATGTAATAGAAATTTGTTTTTAAAAACTATTGAATGTTTAATAAAAGGTATTCTATGTAATATACCTATCTAAAGAAATAATATACAGTATCTTTTTAATCCCTATTTTACCTAAGCTGAACAGTGACACATTTTTAAAGAAAAATTTGTTTGGGGGGCAGGGTGGACCAAAGAGTCATATAAGGTTATAGAGTGACTTATCTCCAGTGTGTTAGATTTTGACAACCCTGGTTTCTTCCTTTTTAGAAGCTTTATAATGTAAATATGGAATTAAGTTTTTATTTCTATTTTTTATTTTCAGGTGTCTGCCTTTGGGGCAGAGTTTTCATCGGACGCTTGCAGAGAGTTAGGCTTCTCAAGCAACTTGCTCTGTAGCTCCTGTGATCTTCTTGGACAGTTCAACCTTCTTCAGCTGGATCCTGACTGTAGAGGATGCTGTCAGGAAGAAGCACAATTTGAAACCAAAAAGGTGTTATTTTCTAGTATCTCTTCCAATAGATGGTTTAGTTAAGATAAGGTAAAATACTAGATTAGCTTTAATATACAGAAGTCTTCAGCTTTTACATTTTGTAGTTTTAGAAAATCAGATGGATTTCTTGCCTGCCCATAAAAGCAAATAGAAAGGAAAAGCAGGGTTACCTACCGGGACCCCATGCTACCATGATTGTCTAGCAGAGGGGGAACAGAATAACTATAGCATGCTTGGATCCTAGAGCTCCCCATTCTTTTTAAATTATGGCCACATGAAGTCAAAGAATAATTGAATAGATGCTTTTATTCATTTGTAATAAGAACCCACTTTTATAACGAAATTTGGGATGAAAATAAAACACCCATTACCTGGCACAAAATTTTAGACAATAAATTATAAATTTTAATCTGGTTAACAAAGAATATGGTCTGTTAATTTACACATGTTACTAATATTTCCAGGTACCTAACCTCAACTTTAAACACCTGAAAATAGCCAAGGTTAGGTGGCTCTAATTGTTCAATAAAATTTGCTATGTTTTGACCCACTGTTGAAATTAATAGTAAACTCCTTAATTTTTTTCTTTTTACTGTTAATGGACAATCATTTATTTAAAATATCCTAAATATATACAAAAGTAAATCGAGTATTGCTTCTGTTTTTCAGGTGCCAAAGTCTTTGCCATAGAAAACAGGAAGAACCTTTTGTAAACTAAACGTTGCAATTAAGCTACATCAAGTTTAATAACTGCACACCATTTTCTTTTGTGGTTGTGCTTTAGTGCTTTAAAGATTTCCAAACTACTTCTTCACAGTGTACAGGTTCACAATAAGAATGTATCCATATACACACTTTTTTTAAATATGGCTTTATTGATTTCAGAGAGAGGAAGGGAGAGGGAGAGAGAGACAGAAACATCAATGATGAGAGGGTCATTCACTCATTGATCAGCTGCCACCTGCATTTTCCCAACTGGGGATCAAGCCTGCAACCTGGGCATGTGCCCTAACCGGGAATCAAACCATGATCTCCTGTATCATAGGTCCACACCAGTCGGACCATATACTCACATTTTACATAGGAATGGTTCTGGTTAAATATACATATAAGGAACCTAACATGGTCGTATTGTGCCCTAAAACCACCCCGTAGAGCCAGATGTGCCATTATACAGAAACAGGTGTAGATGTACAAGCATTGTCTAACATTCAGATTAGCACTCCAGTTATCCAAAATGACATCTTTATGAGGGATGCCCTGTTTAATGTTTCTAGACAAGACATTCATTCTTAATCTATACTAAATCATTAAACAGCCTTATTCATTGAAAAAAATACAGTGAACTTAAAATATTTCTCAATACATTAATAAACTGCCTTAATTTTTAAATCTTTTTATTACAGCTCTTCGACTTCTTTAAATTGTAAAGTAGCCTGAAAAGATCATTTATATTATTCAAATAAAATTGAATTAGTGAGATCTGTGTGTTTGAGGTGAGAAGACAAATGGTGGCATCTCTCTGCTATGTTTCCTTTTGATGTTCCTTCACTTGTATATACTGAGGTATTAACATGCATTTGAGGTGTTAATGTTTGTAAAGCTTTCAGACAGTAATTGTATCTTCTCATTAGGTAGTAAAAGTTTATTTCTAACACTGAGTACAGTTTTATATTTCTAAAAGAAAAACAAGCAGACAAACTTTAAAAATGTTAGTATTCAACCGTAATTTAATACTTGATTTCTCAGTTGTGAACCTGAAATTCCCAGTGTCCCAAAATTGGCTTTCAAGTCTTTGTGGTTTTCATTTTCTTGGTTCAAATATACCAATATATTTGTGTAACAGAAGTTTTCAAGTTTATTTGTGTAGTTAATTAATTGAACTGAAAATATTTAAATTTTTTGTTTTCTAAATGTGGCATTTCATCTGGCTTTAATATGAACAATAAATGTAGTAAATTTTTTTAGGTATTTACAAACTAGGACCAGCTGCTTTCTAAGCATATTAAAACATTCTGGCACATTTGCATATTATAATTTTTAAAAGGACATAAGCCCTTAAAGTAATTCATTATCTATCCTCGGATTATCTTACAACTATGTTTCCTAGACATATCTACCTGAGAGTCAAAATAAACTTTCCATTATTCGCTCTGAGAATGCCAAAATAAGACAATAGTCACTGTCCTTGAAAAGTAGAAGAAATAGACATGGAAATTGGACTGCTAGAATGTAGTTAGCAGCACATTCTCTTGAGCTAAAACCTAATATCCAATGTTATAAAGATAACCACTAAAACAATCAGAAATAAAAGTTGGAAGAATGGGGGAATCCATAAATTTCTTAAAGTTGACATATTGAGAACTATAGATAAAACCATGTTAATCATTATGGGACTGACCAACAGAAGAACCAAAAATAAACAATTTAAAAGTTATTGAGTGGGTGTGGAAGGGCAGAGGAAAATGTTTACTTATTTTATACCTTTCTGTACCGTTGTGTGGTTTTTTTAATTGTTATTTCCAGATGCATTGATTTCTTTAAAGAATTTAATGAGATGTGTACTGTAAACAAAAAAATACTCATGTGCTATGAAAATACACAGGAAGGTCCCCTGGCCGGTGTGGCTCAGTTGGTTGGAACTTCCTCCTGTACACCAGAAGGTGGTGGGTTCTATTCTAGTCAGGTCAGGTACCCAGGTTGCTGGTTTTATCCCCAGTTGGGGCATGTGTGGGAGGTAATCTATTGATGTTTCTTTCTCACATTGATGTTTCACTCTCGCTCACTCTCTCGCCCCCTTCTCTCTAAAATCAACACAAAAGAAAACACAGAGCCGGGCCAGGTGTGGCTCAGCGGTTGAGCGTCAACCTAGGATCCAGGAGATCGGGGTTCGATTCCCGGTCAGCACACATGTCCAGGTTGCAGGCTCGATCAATGACTCTCTCATCATTGATGTTTCTGTCTCTCTCTCTCTCTCCCTCTCCTTTCCTCTCTCTGAAATCAATAAAGATATATTAAAAAAAAAAAGAAAACACAGAAGGAAGGGTATAACCATTTTACTGGTCAGGTAAATATTACCACCTGCTTATATAGAACTTGATGCCTATGATTAGTTGGAAAATAACTGGGAACAGTCATTTCTGGCAGAAGAAAAAATAAATGAAAAGGCAGAGACATGGGAAAGATGGTCATCTAAGATAAATCAGATAGCTTGGTTATGATAAAAGATGGTGACTCTTAAGTAGGACCTGTGTGCCTTCTTGCTCAATAAGAAGTTTGAACTCTATCCTATAGGCAGGGGAGAATTTTAAACAATAGACTGGCATCAGATTTGTAATTTAATAACTTTATTTGTTGGTGTAAACTATAGTTGATAGGGCAGAGGGGAATACTGTTGCTAGAAAAATAACTTATATAGCATTATATAGGGGCTTAAGCCAACACATTGATAGTAAAAATGGAGAAGAGACAGTTCTGGAAAAGATTTAGGCAATAAAACTTAAAGGATTTATTGACCTACCTGGATTGGAGGGGGAAGGGATGAGTGAGGATGCTTCCCAGTGTTCTTACTTTAGAAACTGGCCACCCCAACACAAGAAAGCTGTGATAGACTTCAGCTAGTTACAAGGCAGCCCCGTAAAGCAATGGAGGGTGGGAGAAACGGCAGCCACAGAGGGTAACTTTTAATAAAGCATACTCCATAGCAACAGACTGTCTTTTCAGTTTACTTTTTGAAGAAATATGTTAAAAGTTTTAATTTAGGAATTCTAAAATTGATGGTATACTTGTCAACCAGTGGGCAAAAGTAAAATGTGTAGTGGTCTAGTCTTTTCAAATTTTATATCGTTATCGTTGCTCTTAAATTTTGAATAATACTATTTAAGCTTTTGGGTTGTTATTATTATAGGCTTATTTTTGTATCTTTTTTTAATAATTTTTTTTCTCCTCACCTGAGGACATGTTCATTGATTTTTAGAGAAAGGGGAAGGGAAGGAGAGAAACATGGATGTGAGAGAGAAATATGAGTCGGTTGCCTCCCCCACGATCCCCGAGGATCTAACCCACAACCTAGGCACGCGCCTCACGGGGAATCCTTGTAGAGGACGACCCTGCGGGACCCGCTGGGCCACGCCGCCAGGCTATGTCTGTTCCACTTGGAATATCTTAGGTGATTATTTTCTGTAGATTGAGAGAAACCATAATTTGTGCCAGCTCGTTTTTTGTTATTTCAGATATTTGTAAACTTTCTTTAAGATGATCATAATTGCCTCTTTTTTATGACAGTTTTTTCAGTAATGGAGTGGTAATAGCAGCACCAACACAAAGAAATATGTTCTCTTTTGAAAAGCAGCTTTTGCTGCCATATGTAGGACCTTCGTGTTCCATTGTTGAGGCTGTTGAAAGTTTGGGTGTTGAACCGTATTTTATCTAGATCTTAGTTTTTCAAATTAAGAGGAGATAGGTTGTATTTTTTAACATTTAGGAGCAAAAAGACATTGAATTTCTATTATTGAGTACTCTATACTAAATAGTTTGCCATTTTCTAAAATATTTTTACTTATTACGAAAGGGCTCAGTGGTTTTTATTAAAAACGACTTACTATGATATTTAAGCTTAGACTCATTTTGACCAAATCTTTGGATAATTTGACCTGGTGGTGATGTGTCTAGTTCTTTCCTTTCATTGTATATTTCCTAAGTATCTGTAGAATTGAACGCGTTGTTCCTGAGTGATGGCCTGGATTATTCAAACTTGCAGCTGAAGTATGGATGAATGGATGTCTTTATCTATGGGTTGTTTTTGTTTCTGGCTGAAAGACTAAATCAAACATTCTCACCTTTTGCTGATGAAATTGTTTTAGGTGCATATAGTAAATTCTGTTCCGCTTCACAATACTGAAAGAAACCTTGTTCTTTTTTTCCCTCAGATTTTAGAGTTTTGATGTTCTAATTTAGAGTGGGGTAATGTCAAAGAACTTTTTTTTTTTTTTTTGGTACAT